CGCTTGCCAGGGAAGTGCATGTTCTACTCAGCCATCTCCCTGGCCCGCTAATGTTTTTCTAATGTATCTGGAAGATTGGTTTTTATACTGTCCTACTGTACATACCATTGAAAGCTCTTCAAGATCAAATGTCTTGACCCAAATCAAGAGAATGAGTTCACTGTAGAATAAAAAGTAACTATAAAGAGTACCATATAAAGTTCAAATACTGGTATGTAAATTTCTCTGAAGTAATTTCTGCTTCAGTAATTAAAGCAAAAGAAGAGATGACTTTATTTAAAATAGGAAGCCTATTAACATGACTCATGCTATGAAATAACTACACTCAGTATTCTGCTTTGACAGTTTGAAGAGGGCTTCATACTCCTTTAAAAATTATCCACTAGAATAAGGTCATATAAATTAACTGATTATCCTCCATATTTGTCATTTACAAAGCTCAACAGGCCTTACAGAGTATAATAAACAGTAACATTTTCACCTTTTATTAAGGCAAACTTGTGAAAATAATTTAATATAGCCAGTCCAAATGAACATTCCACTCACATTTATTATGTAAGAAATGTACAAAAACAGTATTCTATAAAAAGCCACCTCAATACCAGAAAACAGTAATGAAAGATGCTGAACCCAGTTTACTTTTTAAAGGATGTTCTTTCCTTACATCCAATTCCAAGTTCTAGTCATCATCTTTAGAGCCAGTTTTGCTTAACTAGAAAAAAAGAAATATTTAACAAACTTAAGTATAATATTTGAGTCATTATTTTCCGTCAGTATCAAAACTAAAGTAACAAGGTTAAAATGCACTGAATTTTAATGATCTATGTCTTATATGAGAAGAACACACTTTTACAGAGGCAATGATATTCTTCTATTTTTCTTCTCTAAATGCACAATATTTTTTGGAGGTAGTGCTGGGGACTGAACCAGGGTTCCATGCATGCTGAGTAAGTGCCCTACCACTGAGCTATATCCCCTGCCAAGGGGTGACAAATTCTTTAAAGATTTTTTAATTGTGGGAAAAAAAATCTTTAAGTAAGATTTTTATTTTTAAAGATTTGGTATCTCTTCTTTTTTAGCGGAACTGGGGATTGAACTCAGGCTCTTGCACTTGCCAGGGAAGCACTTATTCCACTGAGCCATCCCCCCGGCCCCAAGATTTGGCATCTTAACCAGTCAGTAATTTATTCTTTAGTATTTATTCTTAATTTATTCTTTCTTTCTTTCTTTTCTTTTTGGTGGTACTGGGGATTGAACTAGGGACTTTGTGCTTGTCAGGCAGGCTCTTATGTCGCTGAGCTAAATCCCTGGCCCCAATAATTTCTTAAAAGTATAACTGTGACAATGTGATTTTAAAAAACTTAATTTGTACTATTATTATCATTATTATTATTATTATTGGTAGAAACCTTCGTCAGGAGTTGGCAAATTTGGGGTAATACAAAAGTATAAAATTCTCAAATAATACAAAGATAATTCTGATTAGAACAGCTACTTAGTCACCAAGAAACCATTATTTTATTCAGTAACTCCTGAAAATTTGTGTTTCTTATTTTTCATCTTTTATTTATTTGCTACAGGGTCTCACTATGCAGCTAGGACTACTGGGGAATGAACCCAGGTCCTTGAGCTTGCTGGGCAGGCACTTGGACTGCTATCACCCCAGTCCAACTCCTGAGAACTTGGGAAGCTGTGAAAGCAGAAACTACTAAGATAGTAGTTACCAAATATTTTGACTTCTTTAGTTTTAAAAATTGAGAGCCTTAAAGAGCTTTACACAGACACACATTTTTGAGACAGGGTCTTGCCATATAGCCCAGGCAAGCCTTGCAATGATCTTCTTTCTTCAGCCTTCTGAGTGCTGGGATTCCAGGTAATATATACATTTTTTGGAACTAGGAATCAAATGTAGGGCCTTACACTTGTCAGTCAGACATGTGTTGCTAAGCTACATCCCCAGCCTGGGTATTATTATTATTATTTAATGTTTCCTTTATTTCTTTTTTCTTTTATTTTTTATGGTCAGCTCAGCCCACCCTGAGGACGGGGCTGGCATGGCATGTGGTGCTGGGGATGAAACCGAGGTCCCTGCGTGCTTGCCTAAGCTTGCCTAAGCAGGTGCTTTAGACCACTGAGCTATCTCGCCAGCCCTGGGTATTACATTTTTAATGTGAGACACCTCTACAGATTTGAGATTAAAACTGAAACATTTCATTTATAAAAAAGCCAAAAATAACCCATTATATGCCAACTCAATAATATTTTTTAACAGGGAAATGCTAAATTGGGTTATAAAAAACAGAACACAGTGAAAGTGGCAATAGTTTTTCATTTTTGCAAATCTCTACCATCTAGCTCTACAGGAATCTCAGAAATCTGTGTCTACAACAAAATAAAATAGGTACTGTGGCAGTAATAAGAATAGCCTGACTTAAAAAAGCATACTTTTAGACCCTAAACCTACTGACTTAAAAAATTCTGGAGAATAGAATATAAGCACTAGCTCTCCCAGGGCTTTAGCCAAGCATGAGTGGCAGTGTCACAGCCCATGCAACCGACCATGTAGCCACTCACACAGCTTCTCAAAAGTGCCATTTCATATTCAGGAAAAAATGAGTACAAAGCAGCAAATAACATCTTAGTAGCATGATGCCAAAATTTTGACTTGCATATCGCCTGATAGGGTCTTAGGGATTTCCCAGGGGCCAAGTGCCACACTTGGAAACCACTACTGAGATCAAATTATGTCTAGGTAACCACCTTAAAAAATTTCTTTATGGCCAGGAGTGTAGCTTAGTGGTAGAGCACTTGCCTAGCATGAAGGAAGCCCTGGGTTTCTCTCCCATAGACCAATTTTTCCCCCATTTCCCAAGATTACTGAGCTATTTTAATTTTACTTATATTTTTTAGATTTGGAATTCTCTTTATTTCTAAGGACTCCTTCAGAAACAAATGTATTGTACTAGGGAAGGAAGAGCACTATTTTTCCCTTTAGATCAACTAGATTATTTTCTTTTCACTTTTAGCTGCTGCATCAGAAACATTCTGACTGAGAGAACCATTAATTCTGGGACA